ATCCCATCAGATCAAGTAAGTTGCTAAATTAACTCCAATTAAACTTATTAAGTGCCATTGAGAATTTTTCCCACGTGTATCAATCATTGTTCATTAGCCAGGATTGAGTCTATCTAAAGCTAAAACTAAAACCAGCAGCCGATAAATTAATGTTTGATGCGTAGCCCCGAAAATAACTGTTTAAATACACAAATGCCAGTTCGAATATTTTATGAATTTTTTTGAGTTGGTTCAAGTCATAACTAATTCTGTTCAAACAGTTTGATGATTATTTGAAAACCAGCTCGAGTTTGATTGGGTTTCACTTCAATTAGAGCGACTACAGTTTAATTAATTGATGTTATAGGAAAGCTGGAAAATACGAGTCCGGAACAAGAAAGTTTTTCGAATGTGGTCAAACTTTTTTCGGGTTTTTCGTGTTTCATCCTTAAGCATACATACGAAGGAAACAGCACCTATTTGACTGTTATAATAAGTTGTTCATTTTTTTCCTGAGCTTTTGAGTGTTTTATTGCCACTGTACACTCGATAGTTTGGAATGTGCGCTTATGATGCACAATTGCTTTATTATAGCAAGTGTTGAGCTTTCAAGAATACAATAATTGCGATTAATCGCAATATGAGTCGTCTTAATGCACATTGGCGAATAAACGCTGGGATTGCATAAAACAAAGAAGCTGGAAATCATTCATTTGCTATCAAAATATGGTGGAAGGTGGAAGAAGCTTTATACATAACGATTTAAGAAAAATGTGTTTAGCAAAGAATAGGCAAAGAATGAAACGTTAACAAATAAGAGTTCAAGTGCATTTGCAAGGTAACCAAGTTTTATATTTGTGGCGATCATGACAATGGAACAAAGACCTACTGAGCTTACAAAAGGATGCTTCCTGTCTTGACTTTTATTGTTAAGCGGTTTTGCTTGATTTTGGGCCTTTCAAATGATTTACATGTTTACGTCTGTATTCAGATTTTCCAACTGCAAAGAAAAAGCGGATAGAAATCCAGGATTTCGTTCATTACGAAAGGTTTTTAGAAACTACAGGCGTTAGTAACAAAAAATGTTGGAAGGAGGCAAAGAACAAGCCACAGCTTTAGACAGGGAGATTAATTTTATTTTCTTCACTTTTTCATAGAGCAAAGCTCTCTTAGGAAACATTCAGTTTTGCCGCCTAATTTGGGGACACTCTGTATGTAATTGAATTTTTGTATTATTCAGAATATTTGGAATTATTTTATATATCAAATTACGATTTGATTTGCGGCTAAAGTTATTTAAATTAGTTTTGCTTCAGTAATGAACAAATCAGCCGTTTATTTTCATTGATTTTTCTTCACATTGGCAGACGATTTATTTCACAAAAATTTGAAAATTTGTAAAGAGCCTGAAAATGACTCAAAACTGTTTACATGCTGATGCGTGAATTAATATTTTTTACTGATTTTAAATGGACACGTCTTGTAATAGAAACAGCAACTATTTTTGCAAAAATGTAAGAAAATTATTATGGAAAATCGCTATTGAAAAGTGTTACTCCGAATTGCATGTGGATTATCAAGAGACCAAAGATACCTATTTTTAAAACAGTAAATTTCAAGTCTTAGGTGTTTTCGTTAAAACATGTCCATCATTTTTGTGTTCCATTCCATACCATTCGGAAAATAAATTTTTATGGAGAAATTTCTCAGGGTGAATTGAAAAGAATTCGACTTTTAGCTACGATGAGTTTGGGATCATTTGCAATCATTTCAATACTTGTTTGTGGGCTTTCCCAAGAACGTTTTTCCTTTTGCACATTTTCAGATCTTCAGTATTGTAGAGATTTATTCGAACTTTCAAATGTTCTGCTAAGCGTTCTGCGTAAATCCTAGAAGCTCCTGCCGCACTTTAATGATAGCGATAGGAAATTTCATTTTTTTCATAGTCATTTTAAAGTTTACACAATTATTTTATGAAGTAAAACACAAGGAATTGTATGGCCATAACAACACAAAGAAATATAAGTGGTACAAACTACAAGTTACTGATAAACTTCCTTCTCAGTTTTCTTTGAGAATTCTTGTTTCAATTACTTATAGGAACAGTTTAAAATGTATTAACTTATTAATCTCCGTGTAATATAAAGGCCCGACTTTCGTTTCATTCACGCGTCGAAAATTTGCTTTTTAGTAAAACAAAGCTTTGAAGACGTTTCAGTTACAAAGTTTAATTTTGATTTTTAATACTGCCGATAGCTTCTAATAACAATCACTGGGCTGGACAAACTAAGCTGAAAACGAACACTGATAAAATAGAATTACAGATAAAAAACATTAAGAAACTAGCGGTCGAAAAATAGTGCTCTCAATTTTACACTGTTTAAAACAATGTTTCCAGCTGGCTGTTAATTTCATCAACATTCACAGCATGCCATTATCTAATTGAACGTTTAATTAGTCTCCATAATCAAGCTTCAACATATCACATTGATAACTATGTAATTTTCCATATTTACGTAAATGGTATTTTTCTTATAACTTTGCAATTGATCGCTGTCCAATTCCACCGATTATTATGACCAAATTGCATAAATTATGCACATTTTTCGCCACTAATAGCTTAATTTTTCAGACTTTGAGTGTAAAAACATTGCATTCACCTTCACCACCAAACAAAATTATACAATCATCACTTCGAGAAATGAACATTTTTCCAGCAACAACTCTGTTTCATTTGCACACAATTATACTTCTCTGCAGTCCGACGAATATAACAAAGCTGTTACACAACGAAAATCTATTGTAGTGTTTTCCATTGAATCGATCTATTATGACAAAAAGGAGTGGATTTCTGGAACTAAAATCTATAATTATTACGCCACTCGTTCGCAATTAATTTAATAGACCAGCGTAAAATGCACATTGTTTTTCTTCCTGTCTGTGTTGGCTGAATAGGCATGCAATGCGCTCTAGCAGAAATGTGCAATTTTAAATATACAGGGTGTGGTCTAAGCAATCGACAATACTTCGTCTGATGAAACTGAGCTTTGTAAATTTTCGCGACTAAATTTTTTCGTTCAGACAACTCCCATCAAAAAGTCTAGTCGACTTAGATCCGGCAAGCGTGATGTCCACAAAATTAGTCCTGTAATTGAAAAATCTACATGTAATTTGGGGTATTAAATTGATGCTTGCACAGCATGTGGATTCTTCATTTTCGAACTCTGGAAGTGATGGATGTTTAAAATACCACCTTGCTTCCTTGAAGGCTCATATGTCCAAATAGGGCGATCAGGAAAAGTTAGATGTATTTTTCGTAGATTTCGCAAGAATGACGAATGTAATCTGCATGGAAAGTGGAAAGAACTCTTAGAACGGCTTCGGTATTTCTTCCAGTACCTTCTCAATCAATCACTTGAGGTCTACCTTCTCCAGCATGTTTCCTGGCAATCTTCCTTTAGAATGCGCTGTGGACACAGCCACAAAAACGCGAGATTGAGGATGATTTCGAAATGAAATTCGTTATTTATAGAATATTGATACATTATTCGCACTTCCTTCACAGGAAGTTAGTCAGCTTCTTCACAGAAAGTTAAAAGCTGTTAAAAGTGTTTGATTTATTTGGGTGATGTGATTTTTTTGCATTTTCGCACTTACTGGGGCAGAGCCTTTTATCACACGAAGTATTCTCGAATGTTGCGGGAACACCCTGTATATACAGGGTGAAATTTTCAAAACCTGCATACGAGGAACTTTTCGATAACCCACATAAGCCAATTTAATGTATAAATAGCATCAATTTATTAACAATATCATGTCGAGTTCGATAGGACAATGAGAGTTAATTAGGTTTGGTGGAACATTTGACCTATGCCATTGAATTTCGTTGCTTAAGTCGCCTTTATTCGTCGTGAAACGTTCATTATCTAATTGGCAACTATTCAGGAATGTTTTTTTCCTTCGTGTTCCCGGAAAACTTTTATGTGTTATTGATTTATGCCTCGCTTGCGTAAACATATTTTTCCAAGATTTTATTGGCTGTATGTTGGGGAAGATTGATTTATTCGCCGTTTACTATCTTGAATAAGAATGGTGTAAACGTGGGCTTGAAATTTTTATATTAGGGCGACAAATTGGATGCAAAGTGGGAAGACTTGCCAATACTCAATAGGGAAACATTACCAATGACCACAAAAGATAAAACTGTTCTGGACGGTTTAAGCACCCAACAAAACTAATTAATCTTAAGTCAATTTCCTCAAGTGTACTTGTAATATTAGGATTTTTTATCAAATCAATTATAATTACATAACCCAATGAACCTTTGAAATTGATTTTTATGAATACTAAGAACATTCATTGTCGTTCATAAGCTAAGCACTTTCCTGATATAAATGAGTGCTAGATGACGTTAAAAAAATGTCGAGTGGTTTTTATAAGAATCGATCAGAAAGTTTAATTTATTGCGAGTTTACTGTCTTGAACTTGTTTCCAATATAAACTTTTTTGACTGAGAAATTGCAACGAAAAGTTGCAAATCCCTCACGAAGAAAGGCACACTTGTTTCCGGTCCCATATTACCCTTTTCTTCACGAAAATGTTCAGTTTTTTAATTTTTTTTGCAAATAGATTAGGAACTGTTTGAATGAGGTTTTGCGCACACATTTCCACTATCAGTTGCTCCTTTTTCGCACCCTACTCGAATTAATTGGACGTGCCAACTGTAGATTTTAAGGAACCGTTAAGGGCGTTTTTCTAACTTATGCACCACTGGAAAAACTAGCATTTTGCCAGAATGCGCCAATAAATTCTACAGAAACTCGTTTCTTTGGTTTATTGCACCTAAATTAACACTGTTCAAAAATAAACGGGTTTTTAAATTGAAATGTGTGTGCAGCAGTTCCTTTCTGTAGTTCCAACGGGTTCGAATAGATTGGTATTAGATTTAAACAAGTATAATTTAATTTAATAATATATTTTTTTGCCTGTAGCTAAAAACTGACTGTTTATTTCTATTTCAGCAAATAAGTCTGCAGTGCACCCTGAATGAATCTGATTTTAAGCCAATGACGAGATGGCTGCAGATCAAGTCAATATCACGATACCAACAGACTCAGAAGATCACCAATCTGTCGCATACAATGCTAAAATCGGAGCGGTTTACTCACCACCTGGCATTAAAGATCTCGAATCTCTCAACAATGCATCTGTATCAAGGTGCAAAGAAACACTTTGTTATAATTCACCATTTTTGAACATACCCAAAGACTTTGCTGAGGAACCGTTACTTTACATTAAAACCTGCAAATTTAAGGACTACATTTTCATAGAATGTTTCAAATTATTGGCATTTTGTCATGTCTTGAACCGCAATTGCTAGAACAGATGAACAAGAAATTACTGAGCATATTTTACTACCTTTATTTGATTTTTGGAAAACGTGCGTCAAAAAGTCTGGTTTTGTTGATTTTCTTTTTGAAGGAAATATTTTTAACTCATTTCTACTTTTTTGTGTTGCTAATGTGAAGTGAAAAATGCTTTTAAGTGGGCAAAAAAATTAACATTCTTGAAATAAAAACAAACTTTTCACTTGCCTGAATTTAAGCCAACATCCCTTCTTCGAAGCTAATATTCTAATCTGCTATTCACTTCTTTATATTATTTCAATTTTTTTTGTTTCCCAGTTTTGTTCTATTTATTTATTCGTGCTTTAGCAAACGTTTGAGCTTCAAATACAATTTGACAGTAAATCATTCAAAGAAAGGTTTTGTTTTAGTGTCCGTATTTGCTTAAAATTGTAAATTTTTTTGGTTGGTATTGTTCGCGACAAATCAAACACAGGAAGTTTCTCCTCACTTTTGTCAGTAAAAGTGAGGAGAAACTGCCTGTGTATGATTTGTTCCGTACAATCATCCAAACGAAAACAAAATAAAAGTTGACTAGACGTTGCAGGCGCAATGTATTTTTTTATTATAATTTATTGTCCGATTTTAATACTTCTGCCGTACAAAACAAAGGTGTTTTTGTTATTTTGATCCTTTATATGCCCATACAATGCAGCATGAATTCTCCTTGGACAAAGGTGAAAAATAATCACTTGCAAATTACGCACTTCTACAGGCTGTTTGAAATCGCCATTAAATTGCACTGGAAACAATGAATCAATTTTTTTGCATGAAAATGATAAGGTACAGGCTTACACATTGCCGTTATTATCTAAATCCAGAACAACGCAAAATCCGCACTATTGTTGTAGATTTTTCAGTACACATGCACCAGGAAGAATGAAATCAGTATGTTACTTAATTATTAGCTCCTTCCACAATTACATTCGTAAAAAATATGTTGTTTAGTTGCGTTCATACGCCGTTAATCACTTAGTCTGGTAATTGCAGTAAATTGGCGGATTTCAACTGTAATTAATCGAATGCTAATTTGGTCTGTGCAAATTAGCAAAAGTTATTGCAGCTCTACAATCTGAAGAAAAGTTCGTCAAAATCGGACTAGAAATGCAGGTGTTATGCGGTTATTCGGTTTTAACTAGGGCACACTGTACCGAATGTAAATTTTCTTTGCTATCGAGTTGCAGTTTTGAACATTAGAACTGGACAATTGGCACAACTATTCGGTTCCATTTTCCCTTGATCAAACTTTAAAAATGTCAGACTTTTTAATTATCTTTATTCGCAATTTCTTCATTCCTCAATATTCAATAGAACCTAATCTCCTAGATATTTACGGCAAAATTCAACTAGATCTTTCAAATAGTTGATGGGGTTTTTCACTTTTAAATCTGGTGAGTTTTTCGGGATTTAATGCCATTGCGGATAAGAATTTTACTTAACGGAAGAAGTAAGGAGAAATTATTGTCCACTAGGGCCCAAAAGCCTGAAAAACTCCGCAGTTGTAAGCCATTCTCGCGACAGCCTCACTCTCAGTATTCAATATGAGTCTGATTAAATCTGACTGTCCGACTACTCAGTCAGTTCACTCTTTTTCCATATCTGTTCCGTCAAACTTGTTTATACGCAGACATGCTTTCTTGGCCTAGTAAACTATTGGAAAAAATCTTCTCGTGTATAGTTGTTGCTAATGTCAATACATTTCGCTCTTGTGCGGTCACACCTGGAGTCTGCGGAATTCTTTGGGCGCCGCAAGAACACTTTGTACATTCATGTCATGTAAAACTATAACAAATAATTTTGAAGAGTTAAGAATTATATTAATCTTTTAGTGATTCCCAGTCAAATCTGTGCAATGGCTCATCAGCAGTCACGATTGCCAAAGCGAACACATTGCGAAAAGTGCCAAACAGTAACACGAAAAAACCCAATTTCACCCTTACGCATCTATCGAAACGGCCGCCCGTTGATATCCAATTTATAGGTAAGTCTGGGCTTTTTTCGTCTGTCGGCTCTGTTAATTTATCTGTTTGGTTTTATGATCAGATCTGAAATACTCGGTGCCGGAAGGCAGGCGGAGAGGCTACAAGACGATCTTGAAAGGAGTGAATGGCAAATTCAAGTCTGGAGAACTGACGGGGATTATGGGCCCTTCGGGGGCTGGAAAAAGTACCCTAATGAATATTCTAGCTGGCTACAAGTAAGTAAGCCGGTTATAAATGCAATAGTTTTTCATTCGAATATTTCCGCAATTTACGCCAAGTTAAGGAAATATAAAGTTGTGGAACAATGAAACAGGTTACGGGCTTCGCATAATGAGCAGAGAAGAAGTATTTGCTTACCTGAGGTTAAACTGGTTTTATTCGTTTGAAGATCATCATAAGGATTTTTAAGGATCGAGTGCAGAACATATCTTCTCCCTGAGTTGTTGGGAGCGAAAATATTAGAGTCGAAATATCTAAAAATGAAAATGACGCTCAGGATCGCAATGTCCCAAAGAAACTTGCCGAGATTCTGAAAGTCGATTTTAAACCGGGGAAGCGGGACTAAAATATTCTGTAACTTTTGGATATTTGTTTTTTACAAACTTCTTTTTGGGTATTTCGCCTCAAAAATTTTTATCTTTAAAAAAGACAGAATTTCCTCACGTGTTTTATTACAGATTGATAAATAGTGCTCCTATTTCGCAATAAGAACGAATTACTTATCAAAAAGTAATCAAGAACTATCACCTATTATTAATTAGTAGAGAAATTAATTTTAAAAATTACCTTGACGTTTCGATAGCTATTTCCTGCTATCGTTATCAAAAGAACCTAAATGAACCTAAAAAAGAGTATGTTAATAAATTGTGTAACAATAGTAGGATAATACAATATATAAAAATTCGCTCTGATAATTCGTCTGTGCAAATTGTCAGTTATGTGACTTTGACTTAATCTCATTGTTTAAATTAATAAAGGTGATGTGAATTAATAATTTTGGTGTAAATTTAATTTGGGTGTATGTTTCTTTGGTCAACTTCAGATTTTAGCATAGGTAACCATGTATGACTTAAATTAAATGAACATGAAGCAACACAATTATTTTGATTTAGTAAAATTAGTGCGCTTTC